AGGTATGCTGGGAGTTGTAGTTCCGGCGGGAGGGTAGGGGGTACGCGGGTGGGACAGGGGAAGGACACGAGGGTGGGCCACTGCTGCGGGGTACGGGTGTGCGATACACGCCTGCGACACGGGCACGGGACGTGTGCGTGACACAGGTGTGTGTGTCCAGGTGTGTGACACAGGTATGCCTACACACTGCCTGGCTGGGAGCATCAGCAATGCATGGTGCCCACCGAGGGCTGCTGCAGGCTGAGCCCTGCTGTGCTGAGTCGTGCTGTGCTATGCATAGCCATGCTGTTCCAAGCCGTGCCATGCCATGCTGTGCCATGCCGAGCCCTTCCCTGCCATACCACACCATATCATACCATGCCAAGCCATGCCATGCAGAGCTGTGCTATGCCACACCGCGCACAGCCCCACGGCCGGGAGGCAGCGCACGTGCCGGCATAGGGCACCCCCGTGACTGCCGTCGTGCCAGGGCTCCCCACCTCGGTCATCACCTCTCTAATCCCACCCTAAATGCGTCCCTGGCATGGGGACGGCCACCAGTGCGGTGTCCCCGTCCCACCAGGCTGAGCCGGAGCTGGGCTGCCCGCCAGGCTGGGGGCTCTGGAAGGCCTCCTCGGACAGGGGCTGACTGGGGGGGGGCCAGCCACGATGGAGCCTGGCATCAAGGGCTGAGTGTGGCCATGCTGGACCACATGTGCCATGCTGGGCCCTGCTCTGCGGCACCACCAAGTCCCAGGAGCAGTGCTGAGCACTAAGGTCGGGGATGCTGGGGCAAAGCCCCCTGGCCCAGCCCCCCCTTCCCTGCAGCAGGGGGGTCCGCGATCCCCCCCGTCAGCCCGGCCTGGCCCGGCCCCCTGAGCCTGGGAGACTATTAAGGACAGAGCTAATGTAAGAGGAGTTAAAGTAAATAATTCTGCGGTTAAGCTGCTTTCCTGCATCTCACGGGCCCATGTGAGTCCTGCGGCTCCTGCGGGCTTAGGCACTACAGCTGGATGGCGTTGCCCCGTCCCCATCGTCCCTGTCCCCTAGCACAGTGCTGGGCCCCCCCCCCAGCACCTTGAGCCCCAGGCACGGGGGCAGAGTTGAACACCCCCTGGACAGCCCTGCGTCCTGGTGTGGTGTCACAGCCCAATGGAGCCATGGCATTGCTCATGGGACATGGGTGCTTCCCGAATCCCCGCCAGGGAAGGGCCATGGGGCACTGGGCAGAGCTGGGGGCTGCTTTCTACCCCCTGCTTTTTGGGGTGCCCTGCACCCTGCAGTGAAGACCCCCCTGGTCACCTCCTCCATCCCCACCGGTCCCATCCCAAGCCCTGCGGGGGGAGCCAGGTCCAGGAGAGGGGCGGACACCGGGGTGCTACAGCTGCCCCAAGACAGTCCTCCCCAGCCACAGCTCTGAGAAGGGCACAGCCGTTTTGTCAGCAGTGCCCAGTGCCACCACCCTGGTGCTTCATTCCCAAGGGAAGATGATGACATTTTGGGGTTTCAGAACAATGTCTGGGGGCCATGGAGCTGCCTGGCAGAGGAAATGGCCCTATCAGCCCAGGGCGCAGACACGGAGCTCATGCCCAGTGAAGGCCACGCACTCCCAGCCATGTGCCACACGCCTGGGAACAGGGACGGTGACACTTCTTGCACTTAGGATTTAAATGCCACCAAGGTTAGGAGCAGCTGAGAAGAGATTTTCAGGATTGGACTTTTGGACAGAGATACCTAAATTCCATCTGAGCTTCACTTTAAGCATCAATGTCCCGGGCCGGCCCCCATGTGCTGATGCGGCTGCCACCCTCCATGCGGCCTCACTGCTTTAGCAGGCGACCAGCTCCCGGGCCCCCCTGCCAGTGTCCAAAGCAGAGCTGCTTGTGCTCCCCAAGGGCCGAGGCCAGGCAGAGACCCAAGAGCCAAGACTCCCACAGCCCGGGGTGCGGCTGCCAACCCAGCCGGGTGGCGCAGCAGGATGGCAGGGAGCCTGGCAGAGCCGCGAGCATGTGTGCTGCCCACCGGTTCCCCACACAGAGTCCTGGAGAGAAGCTACAGGAGAGTCCTTTAATGCGGGAGGGGACAGACGGCAGCACCTTGGGGCTGGGAAAGGCCCCCCACCATTTTGGAGTGACCATCTCCATTGAACCCATTCAGCACATACTGCCCTGGGGAGATGGTCGTGCTCACGCCTCCTCGCTGTCCTCTCTGGTGCTGTGGTGGGGCAGATCCCACTGGTGAGCTGGGCTTTGGGACCCGCAGCTCCCCTACCAC